TCTTAGGGCTATTTTAAATGTCCCAAGAGGAGAAAAATTGAACCATAAGCCTTTGCCAAACATAGCAGCTTTTTTTTCCCTGTGCGATCCAGATTTAACCATAAACATATTGATTTTTTTTTTTTAGAGACAGGGTCTTCATGTGGTTGCAGCTGGCCTGGAACTAACTATGTCGACCAGGCTGGCTTAGCTCTCACAGAGATTCACTTGCCTCTGCCTCCTGAGTGCTGGGATTAAAGGTGTGCACCAACCACACCTGGCTATATTGGTATTTCCTAAAATGATGACGCCGCCTGCTATTCTTGAACTTCTCTGGATATCATGTTGCACTTGAGGTTCTGGTCTGCTGTCTGATCCTCTTTCTAAGAGGGACAAAGGGTGTTCCCTGCAGCTGGTCTGTATTTGCATGTTGGGTGATTCTAGCCTCTGAAGCTCCTATTCATTCAGTAAATATTTACTGAGAGTCACTGCCTGTCCATCACTGTTGGGTACTGCAATTAGAGGGAAAGAAGATAAACAAGGCTTAGACCCCTTGGAACTGGCAGCTGTGGAGAGTAGGCTTCACCTCATAAAGGCACCTGCAGTCACTGGGGTATGTTGTGGTCATGTGGAGAATGGACAGAAAGGCATTCTAGGAGGAAGGGGCATCTCAGCCCAGTAGCATGGAAGAGGTAAGAGTCTGTGTGAATGGCCTGAGGCAAAAAGGCGTCTGGTAGAACAAAGGAGGCTAACAGGCTGGGTCAGGGGGTGGGGAAGTGGAGAGGAGCCCTCATCCCTGGCTTGCGCCTCCACAGAATGGCAGCTGAGGGTTGGGCTTTTCTGCCCCTCCCTGGAGGCAGTGTGATGGGAGAAGAGTGCAGATTTGGAAAGACATAGACAGGAACTTGAATGCTTTACCCTGAATTAACTAATAATATTTGCATAGTAGGTTATTATGAGGATTAAAAAAAATATAATGAAAATCAGTGGACAGCAAATATTTCCCCCTTCTTTTACTTCCTAAATGTCTTTCCTCCCTTTCCTGTCATGGCCCAGCATCTTCCCCTGAGGAACACCGTGCTGATATCTTGCTCCTCAGCAGAGCTCTGTGTCAAGACCCTTCTCTGAGGGATCTTTTATTTAGACAATGAAATCTTCATAATTTTTGTTTTTAGTTTACTTTTGGAAAATTGAAATAAAAGGAGCTGAAAAAATGACTCAGCAGTTAAGAGCTCTTACTACTCTTGCAGAGGACCCATGTTTAGTTCCCAGTACCCATGTTGGATGTCTCATAACTGCCTGCAAACGCAAGCTCCAGGAGGTCTAATGCCCTCTTCTGGACTCCATGTACAACTGTACTCACCTCTGCACATACTCACACACAGATACACACAAACACATGGAATTAAGTCTAAAACAAAAAATTAAAAAGAAAATTTATTATTTTTATTTCATGTGTGTGAGTGTATTGCCTGAATGTGTATAATTGCACCCATGTTGTGCAATGCTGGAGGAGGTCAGAAGAGGGCATTGGATTCTCCTGGAACTGGAATTACAGACCGTTGTTAGCCGCCATGTGTGTGCTGGGAATTGAACCCAGGTCCTCTGCAAGAACAGCCAGTGCTCTTAACTGCTGAGTCACCTCTCCAGCCCACGAATAAAATAAATATTAAAAAATAAAATAAAAATTATTCAACAACAACAGAAAAATCAGGTGCAAAAGAACACAAAAGAAAAAGTATCATATCTCATCTCTTAAGAAGATTGTCACCAAAAGCTCGGATTCTATATTTTTAGACAGTTTACATGCATGCACAATCTTTTTAAAATTTTTATTTATTTATTTATTCATATTTTATGTATATGAGCGTTTTGCCTCCATGCATATAAGTGCACCATGTGCCTACAATGCCCCACAGAGACCAGAAGAGGGCATCAGATAACCTGGAACTGGAGTTACAGCTGGTTGTTAGCCACCATGTGGCTGCTGAACTGAACCCAGGTCCTATGCAAGAGCAGCCTGTGCCCTTAACTGCTGAGCCATCTCTCCAGCCCCTCACGCATATTCTTAAAACAAAAAATGGAAATGTGAAATTACTGTTTTTCACTCAACATATCTTAGGTTTCTTTTCATGCACACAGTTCTTTTTTGTTTGCTTGCTTTTGAGACAGTATCTCACTCTGTAGCCCAGACTGGCCTTGAACTCACTACATAACCTAGGCTAGTCTCAAACTCATGGCAGTCCTCCTGCCTCAGCCTTCCCAAGTGGTGGGATTACAAACAGGTCTAAACTTTCAGGCAGGGCTCCTCAGACCCTCAGTCCTGGCATTGTATGCATTTTCTTCTTTTGGGGGTAGCCTGTGTCTCCCAGGCGGTGGGCTCTTTGGTGCCCAACCATGTCCTCCCCGAGCCCCTCTGCTCCAGAGACACATCACATCAAAGCCTTGTGTAGTCATCAGCCTGTTTTTCAGGAACTGGGTGGAGTCCAGGGAACATACTTTGTTTCCTGGTCTGTGGGGAGTTTCATTAGAGCTTTTCCTCTTCCTAATTTCACAGCTAGCAAATTAGGGATATCTTAATGCCAGAATGTCACTCCAGCAAGAACCATTAATAGCCTGGTCACCTAAACTTACAAATTTCGACAGTAACAGCTATGCCTGTGGGACCTGAGTGTGAGGAGCAAACACGTAAGCAGTTACCAGAAGCAAATGCAGATGGCTCCTGACCCACCTAGCTCATCACTTCCTGTTTGTACAGAAGGGTAGAAAGCAATGGACCTGTTCTCTTCCTAGTTTAAAAGTTCTCATTGTAGCATGGTGGCACACACCTTTAATCCCAGCACTTGGGAGGCAGAGGCAGGCGGGTCTTTGTGAGTTCGAGGCCAGCCTGGTCTACATAGTGAGTTCCAGGACAGCTCAGGCTAGAAGGAGACCCTGTCTCAAAAAGACAAAAATAAAGTTCTCATTGTAAAAACATACAAACAAGTACTACAAAAGAGAATTTAAAAATGAGTCAACCTGCTGCCTAGAATCTCTATTCCACTGTTCCCTCTTCCAAGGTCACTACTTTGTCATGAATCTTTCTAGGTTTTTAGAACAATTTTATAAACTTCCAGTGAATTCAAGAAATACTTGTTATTCTGTCACAATGGATGATTTTAAAATACAAATTATAGTTTTGTGTTTCAAAAACTGTTTTGTGAAGATGTGGGAAGAAGTTATACAAAGGCAGCTGGCTGGTGGGAGAGTTCAGATTTCTGTGGTAGTGTCCAGGTACCGGGGGAAGCTGGTTTGCCTGAAGTCTCAGCCCTGGGTCAAGTTTCCCTCCTTCCCTCCTTCCCTCTTTCCCTCCTTCCCTCCTTCCCTCCTTCCCTCCCTTTCTTCTTTCCCTCCCTCCCTCCTCCTCTTCTTTTCTCTTATTCTTTTTGTTTGTTTGTTTGATGTTTTGAGACAGGGTGTCCCTGTAGTCTCAGCTGGCCTAGACTATCTGGCTGTCCTAGATCCCACCAAGATCCACCAGCCTCCACCTTCTGAGTGCTGGGATTAAAGGTGTGCATCATCACATGTCTCTTTTTTTAAAAAAAGTATTTTTATTTATGCATATGGGTGTGTGTGTATGGAAGTATGTTCATGTGTGAGGGCAGGTGCCCATGGAAGTCAGAAATGTTTATTGGATCCCCTGGAGCTAGAACTGGAGTTATAGGCAGTTGTGAACATCCTGATGTGGGTGCTGGGAACTGAACACGAGTCCTCCGGAAGGGCAGCTCTAAATTGCTGAGTTGTCTCTCCAACCACCTTTCTCTTCTTTCTTTTAAAAGTTTTTTTTTTTTTTTTTGAAAAAAAATTATTGCATTTTATTTTATTTATTGGGGTGGTGGTGGTGGTGGTAGTGGTGGTGGTGTGTATAACTATTTGTGAACCACAAAGCTTGTGTGGAGCTTGGAGGACAATTGAGGGAGTTGGTTCTCTCCTTCCACCATATGGGTCCTGAGAACCAAACTCAGGTCATTAGGCTTGGTAGCAGCACTTTTACCTTCTTTGACATCTCACCAGCCCTTGTTTTTGTCCCCTGCATGTTGAGGAGGTCCCTACTCTGTCTCCCCACATCTAACAAACTCTGCATAACAGCAGACAGCTTTGTGTGATCACATGCAATTTATTCAGCTTCTCTGAATGTCCATTTCCTCAGCTGTGAAGTAGAAAGAAAAATTGCTGTATCTCAGAGTTGTTATAAACATTAAATATGCTAAGGAATGTTTCTTAAAAGTGGTTAGAGAAGCTTTAATTTCTTTTTCACTGCTTCCTGAAGCCTCCATCCTACAAAGCTGTATTAGATTTGGGCATGCTACCCTTTTTCAATTGCATTTTAATGATGATTCATGCTTTAACTACTGGGCTTAAGGACCAGCCAACCGGAGTGGGAAGAGTCTTTGGGGCTGTAGTCACATCACTTCCGTTTGGCTTTTCAGAAATATTTCATGAATGGACACAACAGGTTGTGTACTAACCCCACCTCTTCCTCAGAACTTGACTGCAGGGTCAGCACTACCCTCACAGGACAGTTTAGTTGCTAGATGACAGCAACCTCAACTTACTGCATTTCAGGCCACGTGTTTAATGAGGAGGTTGAAGTCATGAAAGGAAGTGATATAAGACAGAAAATAACTTCTTCTGACCCTGAGGTTTCATGACTTAAATCCGCTGGCATCTTTGTAAGCATTAGAAAAGGGTATCCCCTGGGAAAATGGGGCCATTAAGGTACTCTGTGAGGTTGGGGGAATGGGCCTTGATAGAAGTTGACAAAAGATGTTCTTTCTCTTGGGTGCAGGTAGCCTCAGCCCATGCCCGACTCCATGTGGCCAGCAGAGGCCAGGCTGGGATTCTACCCCCTTGCCCCTGATGCCAAGGCAGCCGGGGCCAGGCACAGACTCCAGTGTCATATGCAGGAACGCATTGTCGCAGTTGTGTTCATGAGGCCTAAAGGCTCATTCCTCCCTTTCTCCTCCCCTACCTTCTTCTAGCCTCCTGAACCAAGCAATGGAGAACCTACCAGGAAACTTCCTCAGGGTGTTGTTTATGGTGTCGTGCGAAGATCAGATCCCAATCAGCAGAAGGAAATGGTGGTATATGGCTGGTCCACAAATCAGCTGAAAGAAGAAATGAACTACATCAAAGATGTGAGTGGCTGGTGGTGGGGGCGGGTATTTTCTTTTCCTGATCTGCATTCCTTTGATGCAGGTGGGAGGGTGGAGTTGGGAACATTGATGGAATTGAGTGGCATTATTTGTTTACTGAAAAAAATTTTTTAAATTTATTTTTATTTTATGTGTGTGAGTGTTCTGTCTCCATGTATGTAAGAGTACCATGTATGCACAATTCCCATAGAGGCCATAAGAAGGCATCAGATGCCCTGGATCAGAGTTATGGGTGGTTAGTCACCATGTAGGTGTTGGGAACCGAACCAAACCCTGTAAGAGCAGCTGGTGCTCTTAACTGCTGAGCTATCTCTCCAGCCCCCGGAAGTCTTATCTTGGATGGAAATGTTTCTGTGTTTCCTTGTGGTAATGCTAAAGGTACAGATGTAATTCTTTGACAAGGACTGGAGTGCGTTACTAGGGAGAGTGATCAGAGAGCCCAAGGCTCCTGCTGGGTATGGTGTGGAAGCTCTTGGGCAGTTGTGCTTAAGACACCAGACACATCTAATGTATATGATTGGACAACTACTTATAAGTAAGAGAAAAGCCAACTCAGAAAGAAATGCATCTTCCCTGGTGGTGAGTCTGGAGGTAGGAGGGTTTCTGGCAGGGCACGACCAGCCTCTGGGTCTGCTTTTCTGTGTTTCTATAAGCCTTTTCTTCAACCTCAAGCTTGGGTCTCTTCTGAAAATATGCTGGTGTTTAGAGAAAGAAAAGAGACTACTTACTTCTGGACACGTTTTGCAGTAGACATCTCCTTATTTCATAGTGGTTGGGAATGACCATGTACCCCAACCCACACCAATCACTAGCAGGGAGCATAGGTGGACTTGGCAGGTTCAAACTAGTCAGTGGGTTGGCTTGAAATGAATGTTGAGAAGACATCATAAATCCAAGCCAATCAATGTTATTTCCTTGTTTTTAATGCCATGTTTCTCATCTTTTAACTTGTATGATCTTTTGAGAAAATTTGGGAAAACTATGAGGAAGAAACAAAATCATCCATGGTCTCACCATTCAACTAGTTTGGTTGTTAGCATTTTGGAACATTTTTTAAAGTGTTTTAATGCCTGCCTGGCTCTCTCTATTTTTTGTGCTACCCAGTGACTGCCCTACACAGACTGAGCCTGCTGAGCTCAAACCATACTATCTAGATGAGAGTGGAAATGAACTGATCTGATGCTGATAGGTCCCGAACACTGACCTGTGGCTTAGTGCTTGGGGGTAGCCAGAATCAGCACAGAGCCAGCCTGCCCTCACACCCAACCCCCAGGCCTGTGAACTCATAACCCCTTCTTTCAGTTCCAGCTCTGGGTTTCTCCTAGTGTGACATTTTGCCCTTTCTAAGCCTCAGTTTACTCCTATGTAGGTGGTGGTGGGGGCCAGGGCTCTGATCCCTGAGGTCAAAGCCTCCAGCTCTGTGAACCTCATTTGATTTGGGGCAGATAATGTGCAAGGCCAAATTGTCTCAGCTATTGCATGAATTTTTAAAAATAATAAATTCAGGGGATGGGAGATGGTGCTGATGGCAAAGTGCCACCCACACAAACAGGAAGACCTGAGTTCAGATCCCTAGTACCCATGTAAAACCAGGCATGGTGGCTGGCATCTGTAACCCAGGGCTGGTAGGACAGAGACAAGATAATCCCCGAGGCCTGTTGTCCAGCCATTCTAGCTGAATCAATGAACTCCAGGTTCACTGAGACTCCATTTCAAAAATAAGATGGAGAGTAATCAAGATAGAAGCCTGATGTCAGCTGCTGGCCTCCACGCACACACTCACACATGTACAAACCCACCTACAAGCATACATGAACACATCCATTAAAACAGGTGCATATACCACAAATACAAGCAGTAGTAAGTACTGTGCAGAAAATATGAGGAAAATCTAGAAAAACTACACACATACACCCCCCACCCCACACAGAGCACATGACAACCACCAGCCTCAAACCTCTAGTTATTCAACCTCCCAAATACAATATTTATCATGCAGAATATTATATTCTGGATTGTTTTCAACAGTGCAGACATTCTAAGTCTCCATGTTTTTCTCAAGGAAATATTTAGAACTTCCTTGTTTACATGTTCCAAATAACATGGTATTGCTTTAGATATAAACCTTCTAAGTACACTCTAGCGTCTCAAATTGCCCAAGACAAATTCAGCAGGTTCAGGCTGATCTTCAGCTATAAATGACACGTGCTGAAGTCACAGAGCAGGCTCTGATCCAGAATTACCAACCGCCACTGTGATCTACAATGCAAAGTTAATTTCCAGGTCCCACCTTCTGTGGTTAGATTCAGATCCACCCTAGCCTGTCATTCCTGATGTGTTTATGCCTTTGTTGTTTTTGCTTCCTGGTGGAGATGCCCTGGTCCTGTTGGCTTCCATCATTTCACCAGTGAGAGCAACACCTAGCTCAAGATCCCACCCACTCAGCCCTGGTGATAGACAGCGCAAGAGCCAGGTCAGGGCAACAGAGTCCTTCACCCACCCAGAATGAAAAGTCACGCTTTTGGCCTCATTTTCCGAAAGTGTTTGTAGTTAATGGCAAGAAAGTAAACTGTTAGTTAGAAGTTATCTGGGGAGGGGCCGGGGAACTGGCTCAGGGGTTAAGCATACTGCCCTTCTAGAGGATCCAAGTTCAGTTCCCAGCATTCTCATCAGGTAGTTCACAACAACCTGTAACTCCAGCTCCAGGGGATCTGACACCCTCTTCTTGCCTTCACAGGCACCTGTACACACACAAATTAAAAATAAAATTAATAAATTAATTTAAAAACTCATGGGGAATACTCGCGGTCTTGACTCCTCATTACTCCTAACTCTCTACCAATATTTAGTAAAAAACAAAGTGCTTGTGGGCTGGGGTGTAAACTCAGTGTTAAAACTTTTGCCTAGTGTGTATAAGACCCTGAGTTCAAATCCCTAGTACCTTAAAACAAAACAAAACCCAAAAATCAAATAAGGTGCTTCTTACGCAAATATACCTTCAATATACCATCTTCTGGTACTACTTCTAAATGATTGTACTCAAACCAAATTGCTATCCTGCATAAGATGGACTAAGCTCTCCCAAGACTTGTCTTGTTGGAGGATTGCTGAGCACTTTATCAAACATCTAGGGCACCAGAATGAGCAGGTTTTGGGGGAGGGGAAGTGGTGGGGAGGAGGAGTGGCTGACCAGACACAAGACTTGTCTGTAAACTTTACATTATTTTGCTTTTAAAAATTTCAGATCCTGGCAATGTTCTGAAAGCTGCCTCACAATAGAGACTTGCAGTGTTTGTGTGAGCAAGGATTTGGGGACCACTTTCCTCTTCATTATACCCAGTGTCTTGTGTTTGGTTGGTGATTAATGAGATTTATGGACCCTTCAGGACTCAATTTTCCCATTTTGCATTCTAGACATTTAATTGCTTTTTTTGATTTGGAGCAGAGAGAGACAGAGAGAGAAAATTAGAGGTCGCTGCTTGCTTTGGAGTGCTTTCATCTTCATAGACGTGTGTTTACAGAGTTGGCTGGTTGAAAACTTTTTTCTTGTAAAAATATATGATAGGAGTCAGGTGTGGTAGTGCATGTCTTTTATCCCAGCACTTAGGAGGGAGGCAGAGGCAGGAGGACTTTGAGATAGAGGCCAGCATGATCTACACAGTGAGTTCCAGGCCACCTGGGGCTATAGGAAGACCCTGCCTCAAAACAACAACAAAAACCCTACAAAAATATATTATAGGAAGAGGGGTAGATCTTGTTCAAACATAGTTTGAGGATGGTAGGTTTGTTATTCATTTTACTATTTTGATAGCTTAATATTTATTCATTCTTATAGTCACATATAATTATAATGTATTATTATTTGGATAGTTGCCTTTATTTCTAACTAGATGTTGGGAGTGATCCTGTCCCTTAATTGTTACATGTCTTATGAGTCCTTCTCTTATAAAGTTTTGGGCATCTTTCATCTTTTAACTTGATCTCTAAGTAGAATCTTTGTGGCTGCAGGTGAGAGCCACTTTGGAGAAAGTGAGGAAGAGGATGTACGGTGACTACGACGAGATGAGACAGAAGATCCGGCAGCTCACCCAGGACCTGTCGGTAAGTCCATGCTCAGCACTGTGGGGAGATGGCAGGGTTCGGATCTCTGTTCAATGGGTGGTCACTGGAGATGTTTAAATAGCCTAGACTTTTTATGAATGGAGTTAACACTTTAAATGAACTGAGGGAAATTTTTTGTACTCTTAACCATTAAGCCATCTCTCCATCCCCAATTTTGATTTTTTAAAAGAGTCACAGGCCAGATGTGGTAGTGCACGCCTTTAATCCCAGCACTCGGGGAGACAGAGCTAGGTGGATCTCTGTGAGTTCAAGGCCAGCCTGGTCTACATAGTGAGTTCCAGGCCAGCTGGGGCTGTAGAGAGACCCTGTCTCAATTAAAAAAAAAAAAAAAAAGTCACAAGTAGCTCAGTGCCTCATAGCCTTAAACTAGCTTGACCTTGAACTCCCGATTCTCCTGCTTTCATGTCCCCGGTGGTGGGATTATAGGCATGCACTACCATGCCCTGTTTATGCGGTGCTGAGGGTCAAATCCAAGGCCTTGTGCATGCTGGGCAAGCTCTCTACTCACTGAACTACATCCTTAGCTCTCAAATTCCATTCTACAGATATGCTCCCCGACATGTGAAATGCCTCAGGGATGAACTTTCTTTTTGAGGT